AACTTTTCGAATAATCTTTTGTTGGAAATGATTGCGACGGTTATGCAAAATTTTCTTTGTTTCGCAGAAAGCCGTTATCTGGCTTTTTTCTTTTCAAGGTATATAAGAAAAGGAGCATGTATGAAAAGAGCACAGAGTTGCTTTCCTATAAATATGAATAGCGAAAATGAAATCTCACTACATTATGTATGAATTTCTTTTAATTTCTTGATTGAAACATCATAAATAATGATGATCTTAATGGTCGTATTATATAATATATAATCTTGCATAATAATTTTTATTTTTGATAAATTTATTTGGCAAAAACATGTTTAAAATAAAAAATTTAATAATATATGCTTTCATAATGAATCTAAATAACTAACTTTTTTGGTTTTTTTACTACTTTCATTTACAACTCTTGCGATATGTGCGGCATAACAATATAATGTGATATAAGCACAGCAACAAGTGTTGCTGTTGTTCTTGTTGTATACACTCGTACTTGTACATATGTACATATGTACACCGATGGAAACGAGCGCCATTTTAAATAAAAATGGCATCGGTTGAAGAAGACATGTCTGAGAGTAAGTTTTACAATTTTGTTATTAATTTTGATTTGATAATAAAATTTTTTTTTTTTTTTCTGTTAACAAAAACGAAGCGAGAAACGAGTGGCGCCATGTGCGCCGCAATGTCGAGGCAATTCTGCGTGGGCATGTAATCCACCCACCAAAAGATGAGGGCGCCGAAAATCGCCAACAATCGCCGCCCACGCCGCCTAGGCGTAGGCGCAGAAGAGGTTGCGGCAGTGGTTAAACCGCCGAGAGGAGAACGGGTGGCACCCACCTCTTAATGTTGGTGACTTTGGTGACTTGCGGCACCGTTTAAGCCGCCCACAGGGGAACGGATGCATCCCTCCGCGCCGCACCCAACCATAAGCATTATTATTAATTTTTTCTTCATTTTTGGCTAACTGCATTTTATCAAAACCAAAAAAAATGTTCAAATAAAATTAAGAAGATGAAAATTTGTCAACCTTGTCTGGGCAAAAGCGCCAACAACGATGGAAATGCTAGAATATCCTTTTGTCACAATAATCAGAACATGGAAAAATTTTATATTATTCTCTATAATACAACGCCTCAGGGAATTTTGGAGTTATTGATATAGTTTTTGAAGAAATGTCATACTTTAAAACTATCAAATAGTGAGCTCTAAAATATAATTTTAAACCCTCGGTTAAGCCGTCCATTTCCAAATTAAGGTTTTGAAACACTTGCATCTTGTATCAAGTACGCCATGCATCAATAGGAACTTGCCCCTTCAGGAAATGGAAATGGATATAAAATAAATAATTGAGAAATGACAAACAACATAGATGAAGATCTTTATAAAAATATATTTTACAAAAATATATGTAACAATTTTTCTCGTATAAAAAACTTATTGATTTTCCTGTTCTCTTAAACATAATTTGCTCTTTTTTCTCTAAGCGACCCTTAGATTAAATTTATATAAAATAAACATTGCGGTCGTAGTTAAGAACATATAAATCATTAAAATAAATCGTCATAGCTTTAAATATATGTTAACAACACTAGTCAAAAGATTTACAATCAAGAAAAAAGTTAAACCGTTATAGTTCACCGCTTCAATTATTAAAGGAATTCTTGTATGCATATGATCATTTAAAATGTAACAACCATATCGATCTGGTAAACGTTTTATAAAGGACAGCCCCAGAGCTCCTATGGCAACATCGGGCGTAACCTTTGATTTTATCTTCTTCGAGCATATGACTTTGAAGAGCGCGTAAGTAGTACGTAACTTCTAACTTGGATCGCTCACATTCTAGTTTCATAAACTTAGCGATCTCCTCGTCGATAGGAAAACTTTTTAGATCTTCAAGAAGTTTTTTCACTTTTGTCTTTTTTAATCATTGTTTTCGCTTTTGCTCAATTTTCTTGTACCTTTTTCAGTTGCACTCCGTGGTAATTTAGGCGAAGCATTTTTCATTCTAATCGCTCTTACAGACTTGATAGATTTTTCCTTTTTTGAAAGTTTAGTACTTTCCCTTTTGTTGCCATTTTTTGTTTCCTCGCTATTAAATGGGTCGCCATCATCGTCATCAAATTTTTCATCTTTGTAATTAATGAGATTCCTAACTTCTTCCGCAGCATTAGGATTAAAACGTTTGTTGTTGAAATCGTTTTCTTTTAGGAGTAATGATGGGTTATTATCCGCTTCATCTATTGGCATCTCGAAAGGATCCTCATCATTAGATTCGTCCAAATCATCGTTGGGCTCACGTTTATTTGAAAAATACTTGAACAATTATTCAACAAATGTAAACAAATTGGACGCTTATTCTCACATGCACGCAAATTTTTATACAAACACCTGTTGTATTATTGAGAATCATTTTCAGTTTTATACGCTTACTCTCGTACATGGCCAAATTTTTATACCATTTTAAGGAATAAGCGCATATTCGTTCTCAATAATTCAACAGGTCTTTGTAAAAACGCTAAACACCTGAGAGAATAAGCGTATATATTCTCAATAATTTGTATAGAAATCCCAAACAACTGAGAATATGTGTTAATAAATCATAAGTTTACACATAAGAATCAGTTTGTTCTCCAGAATGTCACTGAGCTAAATAAATGCCAAGCATCTTATGAAGTATTTTAAAAATATCTGGAAATTGTATTGTATTGAGCGTATACTTTTGCTTTTTTAGAAGGAATGCTGTATTATCTGAAGGCATCTCCAAACAGATAAAAAAATCGATGGAAAAAGAGTAAAAGCGACCAAGTCAAGTTGTTTATATTTGACCAGGAAATTTTTTGCGCAAAACACTTGTAGGATTATTTTCTGATTAAATAAATTTTTCTTATCTTATACAAAAAGCAAATTAAACGAAAATTTGAAAATGTAACAAATATCAATTTATTTATTTACTTATTTCATTTAATGATAACATAAATTACAAACTAGAAGTTATTTGATTCGTAAATGTACACACACACGCTCACATTCTTCTTTACGTAAATAAATTTGTGATATTTGTTAAATTTGGAGTTAACAGTAAGTATATTGTAACATAATTATAGATTTTTGAATAACATTCTTGTTTTCTATGCCTTGACAGAATTAGAAAGCAAGGCAGATAGTGTTCAGCTAATTGATTATCAGCCCACATTGAGGAAAGTAGGAAAAAGCATAACATCCAATGATTTTAAAAATAGTTTCGACACATCTGATGATGATGACCTGCAAAATATATTTACTTGATCATAAAGTAGAGCGAAGCTTCATTCACTTGACACATTCTCCAAATATTTTGTGAAATGTTTGAATAAATTTGTTTACATGCATTGTGTGACTTTCGAGAATAAGCGTATACAATTATCAAGAATTTTGCATGTATTGTGTGACTTTCGAGAATAAGCGCATACAAGTATCAAGAATTTTGCATGTATTGTGTGACTTTCGAGAATAAGCGCATATTCGTTCTCAGTAATTCAACAGGACTTCGTAAAAAAGCCATCGATGCGAGATTAAGCGTATATATTCTCAATAATTTGTAATTTATCATCCACAGGTAGTTTCATAATGCCCGGATCAAAGTTTATGCTCTTAACGCATTTCATTTAAATGTTTCAATCTGCCAATCGAAATGCAAATAACAGTCATACCTTTTTAACATCAGAATATATAATCAACCTAACCATCGTCATCAGCATCTTCGTTACATAACTTTATTTGAGCCCACGCATCATATACACAGAATGTAGCAAGTAAGCAAAAGCCCTCTCCTTACAAAACATAACGAACATAAATGAAAAAACCGTCAGTCATTATTTCTCACATCTGTTGCATGCTTTTGCACATCTGTGCACATCTGCCTTTTTTTTGTGTTTTGTTTATATATTTAGACTCATAGAAGACAACATAGAACAGTACCTTATATATCGACTAAGGAAATGGGGTATGTTTGAATACCATCTATATGTCGAAGACTACTACGACTACTTTGTAACATTTCAGGGAGATTGGTTAACACAGCTTTTGGAAAGCGTTCAGGACAATAGACTTAATGTCGGCTGCCCAAAGAAATGCTAATTAAATTGCTTGAAATTCCTAGAGTAATGGCGACTTGATAGAAGAATAATTGTTCTGGACATAGCTTATATGTGAGGAAATATTACGAAATAACAATTTAATGCACATTTAGATTCAGCAATTTAATTAAGAAGAAGCTAGCAAAAGCTATTTCAAATATAAAAGCTATTTCTGATATCTGCTATCGGTACATGTTCTTTTTTTTATGTTACGTTTTGTGCAAGGGAAAATGTGTCGAGAGTTTCTTCGAAATTCCTGTTTTTTGTGCTAATTTTCTTGAACATTTCTAACGCAGGGAAATGCGCCGAGCCTTTTGATTAAACGCACCTTAACAGCGATAACTGGATTCTTTACCCATTTAGGTGTAATCATAGGTATACATATATATATATATGATGTATTGATGATATGTTGATGACAGTCAAAGTGTTCCAAAAATCATATTTTAATTTTTTTTTAATTTTCAGAAAATTTCATTTCATTCAAACTTTAAGGAATCTCCTTCGAAATTCATAAATTATCAAAATTAAAAATATCAACCAAATATGTGAAGGCAAGAATGGTGTTAATCGCCTAATTGGTAAGTGCATTTGCTCTTCAATTGTTTCCAAAATCCATTCAATATATTGCTGAATTTTAGTGAACTTTTATATTATTGCTCGATCGGGGATAGAACGACAGAAGGCCAGCCAACGTGTAATAAGGGCGTATCCTAGAAGAAATTAAACAAACATGTAATTAATGGTCGCCTGTGTCAGACTACAGTTTCTGAAATACCTTTTGCATCCATTAGATGGATTAGGGCATAATGTCACGGCAGGACTACCAAGCTTTCTCAAAGTGAACCTCGGCTCTTGACTTTCGACATAAAACTGCGAATTTGCTTATCTAATGTTACGCTTCATATACATGCGATGATAGTTAAGGGAAGCAACACCTTGTAATGGGACCTTGATTTTAGTAAAATTGAGATTCCATCCAGCTTCTTCCGTAATCAAGCTCTTAAAGTCGATTATTCGTTCTTCTTTATTTAAAGGCAAACATGTCGGCTTTATAAAATCTGTAAAATGTATGACCTCAGCCAGCCGTATAAGAACGATATCGTGTAGTTGGTTCTTGGCTTTTAAACTATACAGGGAATGTGGTACAGCATATTCAATTGCCACATTTATATGGCTCGAAGCACATGAAGTATTCGCATTCTTTCCATTTTTACAATCAGAATTTTCCTCAGAATTCCATTCACCAAAACGAACGTCGGTTAAATGCCATTTTAAAAGTGATAAACGACCACTAACGCAATGTGAAACAATGATAACATAACTGGCACTGATTAAAGAGCCTTCACATTTGTATCGCTTACGATTGCCTGAAAACGTCAAGACGAGTATTACACGACAAACAAATACATGAAAGCAAAATGTAGAACGTTCCATAAAAACCTTTGTTCTTAAGTTGAAATAAGAAGCACGTATTTGTTTTATTTCACGTCACGGCTTTTCTCAAGCATACATTTTGATTACCTGTATGCCTTGGACCAATTTGTTCATAATGCCAACCCGAGTGTCCGTACGTTTAGCGATTTTCATACGTAACTTCGAGGCCAGTTTGCTAAGTTCCGTTTGAACGGGTATAGTTTTCAAAAGCAAACCTACAACACCAACTACCGCAGCTAACCCAATTCGCGTCGAGATGAGATAACATATTAGTACGTCTTGTATTGGCATGATCCAAACCCAATGGCCAAATATAAAACCGTAATGCAAGCGATTAACATCGTTTGATAGAAGATTTATTAAATATCCGGCTGGTGTTTGTCCAGCGGATCTCATAGACATCGCTATTGTCTATATATAAGCAAAGTCGAGGAGGTGTTAAGAAGCAGCGAAAATAAGAATAAGTAAACATAAAGTAAACATACTTTCCTATAAAGCAACGATCAGCAAGCTATAGGCATGCGTGCACATAACAATCTCTGACGTAAATCCACATGATGTATAAGAAAACATCCCAATAGTGTTGAACAAACTAGGATAGCTCCTAACCAATGCGCATCGTTCCAGATAAAGTGAAGAAGTTCATTAAAATTTTCGACAAATTCCCAGTTCTCTTCCTTTATTTGAGTACTATTTGAATTCGTTGATGGGAACTTTTGTGCAGTTGCTTCGTTTTTTTTAAGTGAAATGACTAAAAAGTTTGGTGCTTTTTCTTAATTATTGAGTTTTGAAATTAAATAAATTATAGTAGTGTATGTACACAAACATAATTCTTACCGTTATCTTCATAGTTACCCCTCGTCGAGACTATTGGACGTATATGACGATGGGTGGTATTCGAAAGCAGTGAACTATTGCTAACAGCCGAGGGTCTGTCGAATTGCAATAGCAATTGAGCCAAAACAGCGGGTATTACTGATCTGGAACAGAAGTAATGTAAATAAATAAACAAAAGTTCTGAATGGATTGATTATATTTACATTTCCAAGCGGTTACCCACTTAAGTACAATATAAACAAGACAGATGATGCCGTCTACAATAGCGGACCGATAAAATGTTCGAAGAATCGCATTCCGTAAATGAGGCTCTCTGTTGTTATAACGCGAAGCTTCAATTTCTTTAAACCAATTTCTGAAAAAAAAGGAAAAAAATTAAATATTTGCTTTGCTTCCAATAGGTTCGTAACAAGGCCCTTAGATATTATTGATTTATTGATTATTCTAGAAATAAGGGACAATTTTTTAGGAAATTGTTGGTCGACTTTGTTTAAATTATAAATCATATACAAATCATATATGAAAAGTCAGAATTCGCTATTTTTTCAAAGTGTTTACAAGTGTTTAAGACTGCAGGTAAGCTAGATTTAAGAAATGTTGATATAGTAAGTCCAAACCTTTTTAGCGAGGCCATTTACATCAGCGGCCCATCAACGTCGGATGGGTCTCTCTACTTACTGTTAATTTCTTTCAATTTCTTTACATTTCTTTCAGTTCGTCTTTTATACACCTAACTTATAAATCTTAAAATTATTTCACACAACAATAATTTTTAATACAATACGAAATTTTAGTCTTTTGCACACTTTCTTCCGCTTTCTTTATATATCTTAAATTTATTCAAACAATAGAAATTTTTAATGCAATATACAATTTTATCTGCTATTTTTTGGTAATTTTGCACTCGATTTCAATCTTTGAAGCACTGAATGGTTTTGATATCTCGCTAAAAGCCGTTAGCTGGTTTTTACTTTCACACCGTTTATAAAAAAAGTACTATGTGTGGTGAATGGAGAATGCACAGAGTTGCTTTTAATGAATAAGAAAAATGGTGAATAAAAAATCTCTGTCATCTGTTAAATGAGAAGAAGTTACAGAAAAGACATCATATTTTCTGATAAATGAGGAGTGGTGGAAAAAAATCGTAGCAGCTAGATAAGTGGTTACGTATATTATGTGCACTTAATCCGCCAATTGGATATAATTGTCGCGTATCCCTTGACTACAAATTATTTGCAACACTTGAAATACAGAGAAGCCTATCTAAAATAGCAACTCGAGAGGCGTGCGGAGGATGGAGAGGTTGCCGGTTACGGTAAACATACTGGTGATCTTATTGAAATTAAGGTGCGCAATGCTATGCTCCCGCAGACCAACCGAAGTGGATTTATTTACTGATACCTCATTTAACTCACTACAAAAAGTTTAATTAAAATATACTTTGCTCCTCCTTCTTTACTGTTTCTTGTAAAGGATATTTATTAAATTATTTTACGTTTAGTAAAGTCTTTAAAAATATTGTTAGAATTTAAAATTGATCGCTACGACTTTTCACTACTGGATTCTGAATGATTGATTCGCAGCGTGGTCTATGCCTTTATAATTGCGAGACAGAAACAGAAGAAACTTTAGAACTGCATAGCATAAATTAATATTCTCCTGGTGTATCATCTTAACTTCAGTGGCATTAGGAGCCATGTCCGATACCACACATGATATGATATATCGATGGTTTTTGTCTTTGGAGGGTATTGAACGGTTTTTGTGCACAAAAGTGGTAAACGAAGAAAAACAAAAAGGGATGGTCAATAAATGACAGTGAATACTATCTCACACGTAAATCAATAATTTTTTCGTAATTTAGTAGCTTTACGACAGCTTTCATGTCGACTTATGACCAATACGTAAATGCGACCATATCCTTACACCAATAGCAGCTTCTAAGCTATGACGCATACGTACTTAATATATATAGCGCCAACCATTTTGCGGTTCCAAAGCTAAACGTGAACAATACACACTTCCAATTAACATTTGAATCAATGCATACAAAGTGGTACAGCGTACAGAAATTGTTAAAAAACTATTGTTAAAAGTTCTTACGAAACCAATGAACCCCTGGTTACGTTTCGTGCATGTCGGATGAAGCCCATAATAGGTTACGTGACTTCGTAAATAGCGATTATTAGTCCTTAAGTATAAGAACCCACGTCAGTTTCTAAAGCACCTTCACAAAATACGAAAATAATTTTGGGGTGTGATTTACGGACTAAACATGTCATTTGTGAAGACGAAAGTGACGTTGCATTTGTATTTTGTCACAGTGTGTTGGACGGAATTGCCGAAACGTTGAACGCTAATTGTAAAAAGATTTTAATGGAAAAAATTGCAAATATCCAGAGGGAGGGAGGTGAAAGCGAATGTCAGTTTAAGAATAAAAAAAAACGCGATAGGGCTTAATCCAGCTTAATCCAGCCGCCGCATAACGTTCGCTGCAAATTTATTATTATTCAATATATATACAATTCAATGTACACGAATTTTAACAATTTCTCAGATTTTCCAATTTCGTGCTCAATGCCATTTACAACAAGGAAAAACAAGAGCACGAGAACATCCATAAGCGATCGGAAACCAATTCCGCCACAGCGTAAAGACGTTAAACTCCATACGCGAAATCAACAATCATCGACGTCGATGAACGAAATGGCAAAAAGCATTACAAGCGCCACAATCATATTAAATTGACATCAAAATATTCGTAGGCATAATAACGAAACCAAACTTCCCCAGCCAGTATAACATGCATCCTGCCAAGTGGTGCAG